TCATATAAATCTATGCTAGGATAACTCCTCTTTATTTTAAATGCATAATCTTTGCAAAATTCGATTTCTCTCGGGAGATATTGCGCATGCGCGCGCACCGTGTTAGGCGTGCGGTGCCGTCCGAGTCAAACTTCATAATATAGCTTGCTGAGGGGGAGAGGGGATGGGAGACTGAGTAAATGCGGCAGGAAAGATAGCTGGCGGCGGTAGAAGAAGAAGGCTGAGGGAGGGACAGGGGAGGCAAGGGGAAGGACGCGAGGACATAAAGTTGGTGTTTTGTATCCTACACGCTAGGGCGCTCTCCTAATTATAAACACAGGTGTACTGATAAAAGTTTATTGGGGAAATCTATGCTGAGATACCCCCTAACCATTTTAAATGCATATTCATCACAAAATATAACTACTCTGGTGAGATATTGCGCCTGCGCTAACACACTAACGTAGCCAGATTGTGTATTGGCTGGTATACGCAGCGGGGACCTTACATGCAAGATCTTCGTCATATTTCTCAAAAGAGATTCACTGATGGGATGTTATCATATAAATCTATGCTAGAATATACCTCCTCTCTATCTTAAATGCATAATCTTCTCAAAATTGTATTCTTCTTGGGAGATATTGCGCATGCGCGAGCACCGTTTCAGGCGTGCAGTACGATCTGAAGGCAACTTCATAATATAGCTAGGTTGCTAAGGGATAGAGTGGTGGGAGACTGAGGAAAGGCGGCAGGGAAGATAGCTGAGGGGCGGTAGAAAAAACGGAGGCTGATCGAGGGACATGGGAGGTCAAGGGGAAAGACGGGAGTGAATGAAGCAGCAGTTTTGCACTCTACAAGCTAGGGCGCTCTCCTAATTATAAAATAAGATCTACTGATACAAATTAATTACATAAATCTATGCTGAGATACCCCCTAACCATATTAAATTTATATTCATCACAAAAATTGAACTCCTCTGGTAAGATATTTCGCATGCGCTTACATACTAAGATTAAATATGCCGTGCCGTCCCATGGAAGTAGCGAGATCAGAAATTGCGATGTTCTCCACTTGACTGGCGTACGTGGGTACGATTTTA